CAGGGTATGTGCCTCTTGAATTTCCATAAATGTTGCCAGAGAACCTTCCAGAGACTGCATCAGGGATTCCCATAGAAAGACGGGAAGATGCCTTTCAAAACCAACCAACCAGCCAGCCAACCAACCAAACTCCGCTCCTACTAAACTGTTCATCTCAGCCAATCTGATGGGTTGGGGGCTCTCTCATTACTGTTTTGATGTTATTTCATGACAACCCCTATTACAAGTAAGACTGAGTATCTTACCACTGACCACTCTCGGCTACAGAATACTGTCCACTCACCGTTTGGGATGTGGGTCATTTTCTTTGGACCCACAGGAGCACCTTTTTTTTTTTTTTTTTTTTTTTAATTTCTTTGAGAGACAGTGAGGGAGAATATGAGAGGGGAGAAGGTTGGAGGGAGAAGCAGACTCCCCATGGAGCTGGGAGGCAGATGCGGGACTCGATCTCAGGACTCCAGAATCGTGACCTGAGCCGAAGGCAATGGCTTAACCAATTGAGCCACCCAGGCACCCCACTGGAGCTCTTTTTAGGCTTCAGAGTAGCTTCTGTTTATTCATTACCTTCCCCCTCCGAGTTCTGCTACACATTTTTTTAACTTTTATGTAGTCAGTTTCTCTATCTTCCCCTTTGTTTCTAGGTTTCCAGTTTCCTGGGAAACATCTTCCCTCCAAGATAGTTCTTCACACTGCCTTCGTTTTCTTCTCTGCTTTACAGTTTCATCTTTGACCTTTCTGGAATTTATCATGGACAGCGGCATGAGGTAGCGAACCAGACTTACTTTTCTCTAAAAGCCAACAGGTTGTCTCAGCATGGTGAATTGCACGATCTCCCTTTTATGAACCTTTAACCACACCTCCCACTATTGCCTGGGTCCCTGAAATGTCCTGATGTCCTGGAGGCGTTTCGAAAATAAATGCAGGGTGGCTCATGGGAACACAGTGTAGGCAGCGTGACACGGAGCCACCGCAAGGCAGGTGGTGATGTTACCTGGGTGAGCCCAGCAGCACCAACCCGCTCCCACCAACACCCTAGCACTATTGGGACATCTGCTGGAGACAAGATCTTTTTTTTTTTTTTAAGATCTTATTTATTTATTTGACAGAGAGAGAGATCACAAGTAAGCAGAGAGACAGGCAGAGAGAGAGGAGGAAGCAGGCTCCCCAGTGAGCAGAAAGCCTGACCCGGGCCTCAATCCCAGGACCCTGAGATCATGACCTGGGCCAAAGGCAGAGGCTTAACCCACTGAGCCTCCCAGACACCCTGGAAACAAGTTCATTACCCAAGAGATGTTTGCAAGGATTTTCAACCTCTGTAAGGCCTGTGTCTTTTTTCCTCTCTGTGGTCTTAATTTGCATTTCCCCATCTCTAGTGAGATTGAAGCTTTTCAAATGTTTATTACCTGTTCTCGGTTTCCCCTGAAGCTTGGGTGGCCCAGGCAGTTAAGTACCTGATTTTCCGTTTTCACTCAGGTCCTGACCTCAGGAAGGAGAGGTCAAGGCCGCATCCGGCTCCAGGCCCAACACAGAGCCTGCTTAAGACTCCCTCTGTCCCTCCCCTCTCTGCTGCTCTCTCTGTCTAAAAATAAATCTTTAAAAAAAAAACAAAACGTCCAGCTGTTCAAGCTTCCTCTTCTGTGAATGATCAACTCATGCACTTTGCCCAATTTTCTTTTGAGGTGTATTGTCTTTTCTTCATGATTTGAAATTTAAGGAACTTTGAGAAAAGAACTTCTACGGGCCCCTCCGACCACATCCAGCCACCTTACCTGGCGCTCTGCCCACGGACCTACGTCCTGACCTCTGCGAGAGTGAGATGTCTGCACGCCTTGCTCAAGTCAGCCGTTGAGTGTGCACCAGATCCCAGCTCAGGGCTCCCCCTTTCCTTGCACCTTCAGTCTCCCCACTGTTAGTTCACTGCCCCTCTTGTCCCCATCTTCTCTGCCACCTACTGCCCCTTCGTAGGAAAACTCGTTGAAAGTGACTTCACCGCTGGCTGTCTCCAATCCCTCTTCCTGCCATTCCCTCTTTTCTCAGTTTGGTTTTGTTTTCAATTGAAATTGAATTCAATTTCAATTCAAATACAATTAAGACATAAAATTTAGGGGCTCCTGGGTGGCTCAGTGGGTTAAAGCCTCTCTCTGCTCAGCAGGGAGCCTGCTTCCCCCTCTCTCTCCGCCTGCCTCTCTGCCTACTTGTGATCTCTGTCTGTCAAATAAATAAATAAAATCTAAAAAAAAAAAAAGACATAAAATTTACCAGTTTTAAGTGACAATTCATTGCTGTTGAGAACATTCACTATGTCGTGCAACAGTCACTACTCATCCATCTCCAGAACGTTTTTGCCCCAAACTGGAACTCTGTCCCCATTAAACACTAACTCCCCATTCCTCTCCTCCCTGTCCCAGAGCAACCCCCTTCCTACTTTGTCTCCGTGAATTTGCCTCTCCTTGGCCTCTCATGTACGTGGGATCAGACAATATTTGTCATTTGGTGTCTGGCTTATTTAACTTAGCAGACTTTACAAGGTTCATCTCTGTAACCCGTGCATTAGACCTTCATTCCTTTTCATAGCTGAACAGCCTATTGTATGTATATTACCACATTCTGTTTATCCAGAATGTTTCCACCTTCCGGTCATTGTAATTAACATGTTATGAACACCGGTAGACAAGTGTCTGTGTGAGTCTCTGCTTTCAATTCTTTTTGTGCATCTGTGCCAAACTATCCCCCCGCCGTGGTACCATTTTACACTCCCACCAGCAATGCACAAGGGCTCCACATTCTCCACTCTCACCGAGATTTGTCATCTTTTGTGGTTTGTTTTGTTTTGATGGTAGCCGTCCTGATGGGCATGAGACGCTATCTCATTGTGGTTTAGAATGGCATTTTCCTGGTGACTAGTGACTTGGTCATACATAGATAGCCAAGAAGCCCATGGAAGGGCTTCCATGGGCTTCTTGGCTATCTATGTATCTTCTTTGGAGAAATGTGTGTTCATGTCCTTTGCCTGCTTTGAAGTTGAATTTTTTTTTGGTTGACGAATTGTAAAAGTTCCTTATATATTCTGGATATTAATCCCTTTTTAGATCTATGATTTGCAAAATATCTCCCATTCTGTAGGTTATGTGTTCACTCTTTTTTTTTTTTTCAAGAGGGGATTTTTTTTCCCAAAGGTTTTATTTATTTATTTGACAGACAGAGATCACAAGTAGGCAGAAAGGCAGGCAGAGAGAGAAAGGGAAGCAGGTTCCCTGCTGAGCAGAGAGCCCAATGCGGGGCTTGATCCCAGGACCCTGAGATCATGACCTGAGATGCAGATGCTTAACCCACTGAGCCACCCAGGCGCCCCTGTATTTACTCTATTGATAGTGTCCTGTGATGCACAAAAATTCTTAATTTTGACGAGGCCCAATTTATTTCTCTTTTGTGCTGCCTGTGCCTTAGGTGTCAAAAAATCATTGCCAAACCCAATGTCATGAAGCTTTTCCTTGGTTTTCTTCTAAGAGCTCGTATTTTAGTTCTTATAATTTTAGGTCTTCAAGGGATGCCTGGGTGGCTCAGTCAGTGAAGCCACTGCCTTTGGCTCAGGTCATGATCCCAGGGTCCTGGGATCAAGTCCTGAATTGGGCTCCCTGCTCAGCGGGGAGCCTGCTTCTCCCTCTGCCTCTGCCTGCCACTCTGCTTGCCCGCTCTCTCTCTCTTTCTCTCTCTCTCTCTCTGACAAATAAGTAAATAAATCTTAATTTTAGGTCTTCCATTCATTTTGAGTTCCATTTTCTATATGATGAAAGGGTCCAACTTCATTCTTCTGCATACAGATATCCAGTTTCTCCAGCACCAGCTGCTAAAAGACTGCCCCTTCCCACTGAATGGTCTCGATGCCCTTCTCAACGGGCTTGGGTTCTCGACTCCGCACCACTGGTTCATGTCTAGATGTTGGTACTATACCATTGTCATTATGTAGCTTTGCAGTAAGGTTTGGGATCAGGGTGGGTAAGTCCTCCGACATTGTTTTTCTTTCTCAAGATTGTTTTGGCTACTCAGTGGCCCCTTAAGGACGTCTATGACTCTTAGGATGGGCTTTCCTATTCCTGCAAAACAACAACAACAACAAACAAACAAGCACGGAGGCGGGACTGGACATGCTAGACTCGAGAACTGTTGAGATGCAAGTGTGGGGGGTAACTCAAGCGTGGTGAGTGGGGGTGTAAAGGCTGGAGAGGTGCGCTAAGGCCGGATCCCACTCACTAGGACCCACAGGACGGTTTTTGGAAGCTCATCTGTCAGCTGTCTGGTGAGTCCTAGAGGGCCGAGGAGGGCCTACATGGGCGGGAATGAGGGGCAGCCTGGACATGTCCCTTGTCCCTCCCCCTCCCCCTACTGCCTCCTGGCCACCAAGTCCCTCCCTCCTGCAGGGAGTGTCTGAAAAAGACATGGAGGCAGGCAGCCTTGGAGAGAGCTGCGAGGGCTCTGGGACATCCAGGGGAAGCCTCCCCACCCCACACCAAGAACTTGAAGCTCCACACGAGGGAACAAGCAGCATACAGACCGTTTGGGACTAGGAATTACACTCAAACTGCGTAAGATACGATAAAGTCACAGGGATCCGAGAAAAACAATCAAAGGGCAGAGAGGGCTATGGGGAGAATGAGGAGGCAAGAGCAGCCTCTGAGCCAGCTTCCTTTCCCACCAAGTAAAACAAAACTAGGTCCCCAAAGTGGGGTCAGGCCTTCCCCTTGGCACACCAAGAAAACGGGCAGATGCTGCTGAAACTGAAGAGCGCCATCCAGCCTGGGTGGCATCAGGAAGGGACCATGTGCTCGAGCTCGAGCTGGGCAGGCAGCTGAGCCCCAGGCCCCAGGGGGAGAGGGCAGCTCCCAACTCCAAGGGCTGAGGCTCACCCAGGTTGCTTCCTCTTATTCCAAAAAATCAGGAAAAGAAAGAAAAGGGGAGGGGGCATAGGAAAGCATTAAGATTCCACACCGGCTACTTTTCACTTACAAACCAAAAGATTTATTAATCCAGTTTCCCTTCCCTCGCTGAACTGCAGAAGCACGACTCAGGTACCCCGGTCCAGCCGCGTGGAGGTGTCGGAAAGCTCCCCCGGAACGCACCCCAGTGTCACGTGCCGGCCCTCTGTCCGGCCGCAGGATTGCAATTACAGCGCGGTCTTGAGGCCCAACACCCCGCAGACAGACCCTGGGGTCTCCAGCGTCTGCCACGGGGTGCTGGGGTGGGGGCAGGGTTGTGAGCATCGAAAGTACCACCCACGTGTATCGAGAAGGCTTCAGGCCGAACACGCGGATGCCTGTCCTTCCCCTTCCAGGAGCTGCGGCTGGCCACCCTCGAGGCTGCTGGTTCAGGGGCCCATTTCCCTCAGGAACATCTCCACCTGGCCGATGGTCAGAAGGCCCGGGAGGTGGTCCCCACACGCCATCCCGCACCCGGGCCGCTGTGCTGTGTCTCCAGCGGGTCCCCCCCGCACCTGCTGCTACTGCTGCTTGCGTTCGGTGGCCTTCCCGCTGGGGGGCAGCTTCCTGTGGATCAGGCTGAGTCCGCAGAGGATGAGGAACACGCCTCCCCACCACAAGACCTCCTGGCACTCTCCGTACAACACAAAGCCCAGAAAGGCCTGTGGGACAGAGACCGTGGTGAGGTCACAGCCACATGTGCCCGCAGGACTTGACTGTGGTGAGTAGGCACCGCCTTACTCTCCCTGGGGCCGACTGCCCTCCTGGGGCAGACTGCCCTCCTGGGGCAGGAGGAAAGGTCTGGAGCTGGAAGTCGGGGGCTTGAAGCCCAGCTGTCGCCTTCCATAAGTCACTATTCATGGTTGGCCCACCTGCGGGGGCGGGGGAGGGTGCCCTCCTCCCAGCCCCAGCTCCGAGCCAAGTGCACAAGAAAGATCAGCAAGAGGCCAGCCGCTAAGGCCCAGCACACAGCTGGCGCCTGGTGTTTGCTGATCTGGCAGGCCAAGTTCTCCTTCCCTCAACGGCAGGACCGACTGGGCTCAGACCCACCTGGCTGACATCAGGCTATCAGAGGAAAGAGCGTCCGCCCTCCCCATCTCAAGCTCAAGTTCACAGAGCCCTAGACATCAGTTTGCCCGGAGGCGGCCGAGACTTGAGAATGAGGGCTGCAGCCTGGAAGGGCAGCACGCAGGGAGGCCTTTTTAAAAGTTGGACTTCGGGGCGCCTGGGTGGCTCAGTGGGTTAAAGTCTCTGCCTTCGGCTCAGGTCATGATCCCAGGGTCCTGGGATCGAGCCCCAAGTCGGGCTCTCTGCTCAGCGGGGACCCTGCTTCCTCCTCTTTCTCTGCCTGCTTCCCTGCCTACTTGTGATCCCTGTCTATCAAATAAATAAACAAAATCTTTTAAAAAGTTGGACTTCATACCCAGCTAGCTTGAGAATTCGGCCAGAGTTTGAGATGAGAGGAGCAGCCATCAGGGGTCAAGCCGCAGCCCAAACTCAAGTTGGCTCCTGTCTAGGAGGGCGGGAGTTCCCCAATTTCCCCGGAACCCAGCTTTGGGACAGGGGACTGCACTCCCAGGGCTACTCACCGAGCTGAGGATGTTCGAAAACGTCACCGTGACAGACGCAATGGCCGAAGACATGGAGAAACTGAGGCCCCGGCTAAAGAACGTCCACATCAGAGAATTGGTGGTCGCCATCATGATGACGCCTAAGATGCAGAAGGCCATGTTCACCTGCGGGACAAAGTGTCACTGCGGCCACGCCCAGCCACAGCGGACCTGCGGCCCCCTCACAGCACTCCCAGGGGCCTGATTATGCACAGCTGGGCCCTGCTGAGATCCTGCCATGGCCAGGGTAGGCGGTCATCCGAGCTTTCCTGCACAGCACTCCACCTAACGCTGGGCTCAGCGCACCCATTTTATAGCTGAAATAAACTGAGACTTACCTGGCCGTCTTGCCAGCCAGGTGCCCTGGGGCAGAGCAAAATGCTAATCAGTAACCAGTACTTTGAACACCAGTCCCTTGCTGGTGTTGAGGACCGGAGCAGAGGGCAAGCAGTTATTAGTCAGTATATAGTGAGAGCAAATCAGGGGGCAGAGTCCTCACTTCCCGGGATCAGATAAAGCATGAATTCACCATGCCCCCCACCCCCACTCCGTGCAGGCTACAGGACACTCAGGCCAGTCCTTCTGGGCATTCGGGAGCTTTCACTCTGGGCCAGGCCCTGTGGCCAGTGTCTTAAGTGCATTCTCATTTACACCTTAACTTCGCTTTACAGATAAGGAACCTAAGGCATTAGTAACTCGCCTCAAGTGCCTCTAGCCCGTGGAAGCCTCCAGGATTGAAAACAAGGCAGTGGCTCCATGCTCTTAACCAGGACACAGCCCTGCTCAGGGAAAACCCCCGCTACTCAACTAGCGATCCCCGACATCACTTGGGGTCCTTGCAGCCTTTTTCTTTTTTAAAGGTGAAAGCCTGGAAAGGAAAGGATCTTAAGCCTCCTGCACAGAGAACATGCAGACCCCTTGCTTGGTTTTCGGTTAGAAACCTGCTTCAGGGGCGCCTGCGTGGCTCAGTGGGTTAAGCCTCTGCCTTCAGCTTGGGTTGTGCTCTCGGGGTCCTGGAACTGAGCCCCACATCGGGCTCGCTGCTCAGCGGGGAGCCTGCTTCTCCCTCTTCCTTTGCCTGCCTCTCTGCCTACTTGTGATCTCTGTCAAATGAATGGATAAAATATTAAAAAAAAAAACCCTGTTTGCAGACAGAGCTGCCTCCTCTGGGGTGCCCATCTAAATATCATACTATTCTTTCTTTTTAAAAAGGATTTTATTTTTGAGTAATCTCTACACCCAACGTGGGACTTGAACTCACAACCCCAAGACCAAGCAGTGCATGCTCTACTGACTGAGCCACCCAGGTGACCCTCATACTCTTTTTTTTTTTTTTTAAGATTTTATTTATTTATTTGACAGAGAGAGATCACAAGTAGACAGAGAGGCAGGCAGAGAGAGAGGGAAGCAGGCTCCCTGCTGAGCAGAGAGCCGGATGCGGGACTCGGTACCAGGACCCTGAGATCATGACCTGAGCCGAAGGCAGCGGCCTAACCCACTGAGCCACCCAGGCACCCATACTCTTATTTCTTGTAACAGTTTTCTAGCTGTTGACTATATTAGTGTCTTAAGGAAAGGATGTCTTGGGGCGCCTGAGTGGCTCAGTCCGTTCAGTGTCTGCCTTCAGCTCTGGTAGTGATCCCAGCGTCCTGGAATCAGGCCCTGCAAGGCATCAGTCTTTCTGCTCAGCAGGGAGCCTGCTTCCCCCTCTCCTTCTGTCTGCTGCTCTGCCTACTTGTGATCTCTCTCTGTGTGTCAGGTAAATAAATAAAATCTTTAAAAAAAAAAAAAAAAGGAAAGCGTGTCTCTGCAGAATTTTCACAAAAGCCTTGTATACACCAGGGCAACCTGCTGAGGTAGTTATGAAGACGTGGCGCACAACTAAACAGACTAGGAAACCTCATGGTTCAGGTACTCATCCCCTTTGCGCTTCAGGAATTATACCCAACAGGACACTAACCTCAAGCATGGTGGTTCCGCCCTAAACAGGCTGACCCGCACGGACCCGTCTGTCCACTGTCCAGGTCAGGACCTACGCCTGGGGCGCTGGGGCAGAGAAAGCCCTCCAGCAGCAGACACTGGCCTACCACTCAGGACGGAGGGGCAGAGGTCCACTACCGCAGACATGCGGAGGCAGTTAAGGGGTTCTCAGGAAGATGGTGGGTTGAGGGAGGTGGTGTCCAGAATGCTCCTCTGTCCTCTCTTATGCCTATGTATCCCAAACTCCCAGTTTTCCTGGCAGCGGGGAATACCGGTCAAAACACTTGTTAATTACGGAGCAAAGAGATGGGCAACGGGCTTCTCACCTAAGAGTCACGTGGAGAGAAATGTTCAGGCACAAGGGGCTTAAAATGAGAGGCAGAGAGTGGATGTAGGAACGCGAACTAGTCCAATCGGAGGACAGACTGCAGGTCCCTGGTAGGGAAGAGGCTCAGGTCTCTTACCGCCTACACTGGACGAGGATTTGACGGGTTTGGAATGCACGGATGCTCTCCCGCCCCCCAGCTCACTGCAGCGCCTGGCTGCGGACCGGGCGAACAGACCTGCGGGCGTGAGGCTTCGCCCTGCGCCCCCAACCCCAATCCAACCCCCTCCCCGGAGCCTCGCAGGCCCCGCAGCGCCCCTCCACCGCCCGCGCCCACCCGCCCGCCGGCCGCAGCGGCTCCCCGGGCTCGACCTCGCTGCCGAAGGCCAGCTTGGCGGAGGCGGCGGCCAGGGCCCCGAACGCGCCGGCGCACAGGCAGTTGAACACTCCCCAGAAGCGGCGCCGCATCGCGCCGGCCTGGAGGTGAGGGGGGAATTCTGCGGGGGCGTCGGGGTAGGCGGTCGGGCACACGGCGCCGCCGGGGGACTGCGGCCCCTCGGCCATGGTGCCCACCGCCACCTCTCCCCGCGCCCGCCAAGAGCGGGACCGAGCGCGCGCCGCGATTGGGCGGCGGCCTCACGTGACGCGGCGCCCACGTGAGCAGGGAGGCAAATTCCGGCGCGGCGAGGGCCTCGGAGGGGTGGGGCGGGTGGGGCGGGTGGGGCGGGTGGGGCGGGGGCCGGGCCGAGCCGAGCCCGGGGGGGCCTCCATGGGGCGCCGGCCTCCGTAGCTTTACCCAGGAGCTGTCCGTGGCTGCGGTCGGAAGCCGCTGTGGTTGCTGCTGTAGAACAACACTCCGTGACCCGGCAGTTTGTCTTTGCCACTGGCTGTGGCCCAGCATCCGCTTTCCCCAGGAATTGGTTAAAAATGCGGAGTCCCGGGCCCGCCCAAGACCCGTTGATCAGAATGTGCATTTCAACAAGAGCCCCAGGGGATTCACCGGCACCTTCCGGTTCGGGAGACGCAAAGTGGAAAGACGCCTCGGCAGAGGGCGCTGGAGCCCTCCGCACTCGGCGTGGAGGCGGGCTCCGGGGGGGGCCTCTGACAAATCAGAAGGCCCAGATGGATGCGCGCTGCTCGTAGGATTTAAAAAAGAGACTAAATCGCCCATAACGACTCCGCTCAGATAACCGGGACTGACCTGACTTCCCATTTCCTGTGCACTTAAATGTTTAAAATGTTTGTGTGTAAAAAGTAGTACATGTCTTTCGAAGAGAAATGTTGGAGCGTATCAAGGACTACTTCCTCTCTCCAGGGAGATCATTATTAGAGTATTTTCTGTCTAGGCACAGTTTTATATACAGCACACGTTAAAAAGTTTACGTAATCTGTGTGGGGGTTTTTTGTTTAGCATGATTTCACAGTGAACTGTTGAGCATTTTTTTTTTTTTTTTTCCCATTCAGGAAGTTTTCGTGAGAAGTCCTTCTTTGCCACTCTCTCACGGGGTGGTTTTGCGGCTCAAGTTAAAGCCTGGATAGCCCTGATAACTGCAGTTTATAGGATGAATTGTCCCCCCGAAAAGATACGTTTCAAGGACTTATATCAGTACCCCAAGCTAAGAGAAAGGCAATGAACAGACAGACAATCCCTGGAGCCTTCAGAGAGAATGGCCTTGCCAACAACACCTTGGTTCTGGACTTCTAGCCTCCAGAAGCGGTGAGAGAATGTTTGTTTTTAGCCTCCCAGTTTCTGGTCATTTGCTCCAGCAGCCCCTAGACACCCCCATAGGTGGCTAAGACCCAAGCCTCTTCAGTACCAGCTTCAGTATTCCAACCTTCTCCCACCTCCAGAGTGATCTCAGTTTCTGTTTTCCACCTTATGCTGAATTTTACTTTTTATTAAAAATTTTATTTTTAAGTAATCTCTACCCCCAACATGGAGCTTGAACTCACAACCCTGAGCCCAAGAGTCCCATGCTACACCGTCAAGCCCACCAGGTGCCCCCTACACCGATTTTTAGATTCTTTTTTGTTTGTTTGTTTCTGGCTCTTAGGGATTGACTGATACTCTCTGGGAATTCAACTGTGCGTTAATTTTTAAAATCGTTTTTCCTCAGCTTTAGGGAGGTATAAATGACAACCCATAAAATGAAGCCATTTTGAAGTTTAATTTTTAGTAAATTTAGAGAGCTACATGTGTGCAATCATCACAAGCCAGCACATTTCCACCACATCGAAAACGTTCCCATTGCGCCCATCCCGTCAGTCGCTCCCATCCCCAGCCACAAGCTCCTCTCTCTATAATCTGCCCTTCCTGGACATTTCATATAAATGGAATCACTCAGTATGCGGTCTTTGGGGTCTGGCACCTTTCACTTTTTTCTCTTTGTTGAGCTTCATCCATTTTGCCTCTTTTTACTGCTGAGTGTAGAGGTCTATTTTATGTAAAGAATGCTCAGTATCATTAGGCCTTAGGAGAATGTCAGCGATGGGCCAAGAGCAAGCACCGGGATGGCCCCCGTAAAACATCTGGCAGAACAGGAGCTGAGGAGGATGCGAAGAAACTGAGCCCCCTGCTGGTGGGAGTGCGCGGTGCAAGCAAACAGGGCCTCCGCAGAGCGGAGCCAGGGTCTTAAAAATTAGACAAGCTTAACCAGCAATTCCACTCCTGGAGATCTGTCTGCTCAAGCCACAGGAAACGCAGATCCCCAGCAAGACGGGTACACAAATATTTACAGCAGCGTTATTCATAAGAGCTCCAAATTGCCAAAAAGCTCAAATGTCAGTAAAGCAAACGCGGCATCTCCTCACAACAGGGTATGATTCGCAATGAAAAGGAATGAAGCGGTGATACACGGAAGTTCCTTGAGGGCAGGAGGGTTTGTTTGCTGTGTTTGCGGATGACCAGGGCACGTAAGAGATACTCATTAAGTCCATGGTGAATGGACATGTCTTTAATCTGGCGCTCCCAAGTGAGAATAAAGCACTTCATTAAATGGTTAATTTTTAAGAGATTTTATTACATTTTGAAAAATGGCCATATTTACAGTCATAAAAAAATGCTCAGGAGAATACTTAAAAAGTTAAGAATACAAAAATAATCTATATTAACAAATTTGCCTTTCCTATATGCTACACAACAGGATTAATATCATGGCAAGTTTTGAAGCCACCACATACCATTAGAGCTTCCACTACAAGACTCGAAGATTCTGGTGAGTAGTATCTAAGGAAAAAATAACCTGGCCAACAACCACTGTAAATCTTAACTACGGCTTTTTATTTTAAAATGGCAAAAGGTATTATTCCCCAGTATTTACAGTTGATTGAAAGCTTTGAAATGGGATGGTAACTTTGAAACAGCAGACTGCTGACTGCCACATGGTGAGGACGGATGCAGAACATGCGTCGGAAACTTGAAGGTCAGCCCCCAATGCCACATACACAGTTAGTAATTACACTCCTTGGTTCAGCTGTTAAATGCACTGGGGTAGGGCTTACTTTTGCAAGAGGAAAATCTCCAGAAAGGTGATGCCAAGGTAGGTAGTTGCCCAAGATCCTTAAGATTCATTCCTTTTCTTTTCTTTTAAAAACACATTTTCAGCACGCAACTTTTCTGTCTCCTAAGAATTAAAAAAAAAAAAAAAGGAAAAAAGAAAAAAAAATTAAGACTCGAACGCTTACAGGAAGTTATTCTTTGCATTCATTAAGCTTATATTAAAAATTAAGACTACAACTTTCAATTTGTAAACTCCATATAACATTACACAAGAACCTGATTATGTAGGAGTCTGACAACGGCCTGAATTAGGCTTGGAATAATAAGGACTGATTTTTTTTTTTTTTTAATTCAGTAAATTCCCCGAAGGAAGCATTTAAGCGATTTGATGATTACATTGAACTTTAGTGAAACAATCATTCTAAGAGCAGGCTGAGTTTATTTAAGGTACTTGTCAGAGCTTACCTCAGCGAGCCTGACGTTCTCCTTCTTCAGCCGCACCACGTACTGAATCTTCTGATGCAGGTTTTGGTGACCGACCAACTTCCCATTTTCCTCAGCAAGACACTCCACCTGCTTCCTTAACATTTCCATCTCCTGCAGGCAAATCAATCCAGGGAGGGGAAAATGAGCTGCTCTTAATTCTGCTTTTACAATCACATTGTTTCTCGTGCGTCCCCAGAGCACAGGCGCCAGAGAGCCCGGGTTCCCGGCTCTCCCAGCCGGTCATCCCTGCGCGCGCCCGAGCGACTCTGAACCCACTGACAACCCCTCCCAGACATGCCCTGAGCACATGAAAACGAGCAACACACAAATGCACCTGGAATATTCTCTCCTTTTCCTCATACAGCTCTTCCAGCTTTGACCTCAGTTGCTCCTTCTCTTGGAATGCTTTAGATTCCAAAGTCCGGGTTCGCTCGACTTCCTCGGCCATTCTAAGGCAGTCCATCTCTTTGTTCAGGAGAGCACTCTGGACTTCTTCTAGGCTGTAACAACAAACAGCAGTTTGTGGGATTCCAAAGGCAAATAATTGCAACAGTATTCAAATGAGACCGGTTTCACTCAAGCCCAGAATTTTGATTTGAAAGCGTCACAAATATTCAGCCCTCCCCTAGTGACGGCACCAGGAGATAGCAAGGGATGCAGATAGGCTTTTTTTGGTTATCTTACCCAAGACTTTCATTTTGGAAAACTCCTCAAACCATTTTCTTTCTTTCTTTCTTTTTTTTAAAAAAGATTTTATTTATTATTTTATTTGACAGAGAGAGATCACAAGTAGGCAGAGAGGCAGGCAGAGAGAGAGAGGAGGAAGCAGGCTCCCTGCCAAGCAGAGAGCCCGATGCGGGACTCGATCCCAGGACCCTGAGCCGAAGGCAGAGGCTTAACCCCCTGAGCCACCCAGGCACCCACAAACAGATAACATTATTGTGAGAATCACTGCTGTAGGTTGGGACCGATAAAACTGGGTGTGCCACTTTCTAGTGTGTGCTTCCGTTGCCCACAGCATGAGGTCCTGTATCTTCTAGGGACAGTGTGTCGCTGGAGACTCTTGGTTCCTAGATTATGAAATAAATTACATGCCAACTGAGCTTTTATTCTTTTTGCAAGAATGTCTAAAATAGCTATTATTTCTGAAAGAGCTGCAATTCTACAAACCGCACAGCAGGATTCTCAGAGATCCTGTAAGTGAGCCGCGTTTCTACCCTAGCTCTACAATGATTGACCATCTGGGAGCCAGTCCCTGAACTGCTCATACGTAGAGCAAAGCATGGAACATGCTCTGTTCCACAATACTCTCTGATGCTATAAAGCCAATAACTGGATAACAAATCTTTACACAAAATGGGTGTAAGTCAGCTGATCATTAAAAAGAATTTGTGACTGGGGCGCCTGGGTGGCTCAGTGAGTTGAGAGTCTGCCTCTGGCTCAGGTCATGATCCAGGGTCCTGGGATCGAGCCCCACATGGGGCTCCCTGCTCAGTGGGAGGCCTGCTTCTCCCTCTGTCTGCTGTTCCCCTTGCTTGTAACTCTCTCTCTCTGTGTGTCAAATAAATAAATAAAATCTTTAAAAAAAAAAAAAAAGAATTTTTGATGACAT